TGGTTTCTCAATGTTAGTGCAATTTTAGAAGTCCCTTCTGACATCCATTTTGGTTTTTTATATCTGTCTTTGTAATGATCTTTTGCTCACTTCACGGATGATATCATCTGGTCTTAGATCATTGGTGTTAAATGCTTCAAACCTATTCTTAAGATTTTTTTAAATTCAGATGTAATAGACATAAGATCATATTTTGGTTCCCCTGGACTTGATTTGTTCTCATTTTCGTTGGCCTCAGTATGAACCTGCACATAAATAATTGATGGTCTTCACCACAGTCTACCCTGGTCTGGTTTGGACTGCTGATACTGGGCTTCTCCACTAATTCCTTCCACAGATGTAGCCAGTCTGATTCAAGTCAGTCCATAAGGTGAGGTACATGTGTAAAGTTGCTGTTTGTGTTTTTTAAAAAGATATTTGCATGAATAAATTGAAATTCTAATTCCAGGCTCATTTCTCTCATGAAATCCCTATTTTCCAACTACTATTCCTTGTTCAGTGTTTCCAACTTTGGCATTCCAGTCACCAGTTATCACTAACACATATTGGTTGCATGTTTAGTATATTCTGAACTGCAAGATTTGGTAAAAATGTCCAGTTTCCTCCTTTGGCTCTAGCATCGGAGTGTATATCTCAATAATTAGTTATAATAACGGGTCTTCCTTGTATGTGTACGGAGAATATCCTATCACTCACAATATTGAAGTTCGGGATAAATCTTGAAATTGACTTTTTGACAATGAATACAACAGCATTCTTCCTTTGTTTTTCAGAGCAGAAAAATGCTTCAAAGTAAATTTTACTATGAGTCTACCACCACTCTTCTTCTGTTTTTCAGAGAAGAAAAAAAAACACATTTCAGAGTAAAATGATCAGAGTAGATTCTTGTTTTTAAGGACACTTTTCTTAGACAATTGAGTTTAGACACTAATGTGACAAAGACGGTGCTGCTCAGAGACTAACAAGTAATGACCCCTTAGGCATCTAGTTCTCCTAGGGCCAAATTGTGAGAATAATTACTCGAGACGGCTTCTTGCATTCTTGGGTCCATTACTTATCTCGGGACTGTGTGCTCTGTTCCGGAGAACTGGCTATTCATCTGGAGCAGAATGAATCAACAGACACTTCAAGGACATGGCTGCAGACATCCTTAGACTCCTAGCCAGGACCCGTAGGCACCCACAGCTAAGACACATAGGTCATTGGCCCCAAGCCACCATCCTTTGGGCACAGTACTTAGAGGCTTCCACAGCCACCTTCTGCGGCACATCATCTTGCTGCCCGTACCCTCACTTCATTTTTTACTCCGAGATGGTATTTGTTCCTCTCCTGGAACTCTAGACCAAGACCCTGGGTTTTCCTACGAAGTTCCCTCAACAGCTGTTTCTCCAAGTAGTGTGCATATAATGATTAGGCCCCAGTGCTGTACCTTTATCCCCAATAATGCTGCCCCCCTTGGGACCATTAATTAGCAAAGCCTTTAAAAGATTAACCATGCTAGCAGATAAATTAACTGAATACTCAGGTATAAATGACCCATTCTCTAGCCCTTAGAATGATAGTTTGAAAAGTAGAAAGGATTTATAACTTTAGTCCCGACATCATTGATAATTGTATTTAAGGTCTGGGTACTGTCAGGGACGTCTCCAGACTGCTGATGAGCGAAGAAGTCAGTCTAGAGACTATGGTGCACCTGATCCAGGCCACCGTCTTCACTATTACTTGTAATGCAACAGAAAGCTGGACAATGAGTAAGGATAACAGAAGGATTGATGCCTTTGACTTGTGCTGGAGAAGAGTATAGAACATACTATGAACCATCAAGAGAATAAACAGGTCTATCCTGAAGAGTGGAAGGAGGAGTGGCATCCACTTCCATAATAGCTTGCCTCTGGAAACTCTATGAACCTGGAGAGAGGATGAAAGGCACCCAAGCGTCGAGGATTCTCCTTCACAGTGTTGCTATGAGTCACCTGCGACTCGATGGCACTTAACAACAATAACATCAACAGAGAGAGAAAGAGAGAGAGAGAGAGAGAGAGATCAGCTGGCCCAGTGAAGAGAAAACAATGTGACCAAGACCAAGGTGGGTGACTTTTAATCCGTGGCCCTCAAGCCAGTCTTTCATTGTTTTTGTTCAGACGTTCCTCTAGGTCGTATAGCCCTGGTGTACAAGTTGCCATCCCTTGGTCACTTGTGGTTGCTGTGAGGCTGAACACTGTGACACGGATGTGTCAAATGCGTTAATGGTTGGCTACCCAATGCGGACAGAGAGCAGGGTGGAGCTCCCCAATTAAAACAAGCGTGGAGGCAGGAGTGGCATCCACTTCCATAATAGCTTGCCTCCGGAAACCCTATGAACCTGGAGAGAGGATGAAAGGCACCCAAGCGTCGAGGACTCTCCTTCATAGGGTCGCTATGAGTTGCCTGCGACTCGACGGCACTTAACAACTACAACAACATCCTGAAGAGAGTGAAACTAAGTTGCTTTCTGGAGGCAAGGATTTGAAACTCCATCTCACATACTTTGAGCACGTGGCCATGAAGGACCAGTCCTTGGAGAAGGACACCATGCTTGGAAGGGTGGAGGGACAGTGCAGGAGAGGAAGACCTGAATGAGATGACACTGTGACTCGTGTAATAGGGGCAGGTGTGTTGGAGATCGTGAGATTGGCTCAGGCTTGGACAAGGTTCAGAGCTCTTGTGCGTAGGGTCACCAGGAGTCACAGGCAACTCAATGGCACATAACAATAACAACTTGTAGGTTATTGTACAAAAGGGCTAATAAAAAACCTTATAGAAATAGCTATAACCAAACAGTCTTCTTACTCTAATAGTCTGTCTGCTATGTACTCAAGAACGCCAGAGTCAACTAGTACAAAAATTTGAAGAATGAAAAAGTAGAACATAAAATGAGGGGGGAATTGTAAGAAAGAAAAGTACATGTATTTTCTCTTCAAAAACTGAAGCAATTTCAAGG